TGGTGTCTTCACTGGGTGTCTCCACTGGGTGTCTCCACCTGGTGTCTCCACCTGGTGTCTCCACCCGGTGTCTTCATCCTGGACAAAGTCTCAGAACTCACAGAGAGACGCAGCATCAATCTGATGTAGTGAGAATGGTACCGTGTTGGAGTTCCTCCTCTTCCTCCTCCTTCGTTACCTCCTCCTCTTCTTCAATACCTCCTCCTCCTTCTTTCTTCATGTTCCTTCTTTTCATCCTCCTCCTGTTCCTCCTCCTCTTCTTCTACCTAGGTCTATCCCTCCTCCTCCTGCTCCTTTTCTTCTTCCTCCTCATCTTCTTCCTCCTCCTCCTTTGCTACCTTTTCCCGTTCTTTCTCATGTTCCTCCTTGTCCTCCGCCTTCACTACCTCTTTTTGCTCTTCCTCTCCTCTTCCTCCCCCTCTTCTACCTACTCCTGTTCCTCCTCCTCATGCTGCTCCTCCTTTTTCTGTTCCTGCTGCTGCTCCTCCTCATCTTCTACTTATCTTGCTCCAGCTCCTCTTCTTGTTCTTCCTCTTCCTCTTCCTTCTGATCTTCTTCCTCCTTTTCCTCCTATCCTGCACCCCCTCACCTTCCTCCTGCACCTCCTCCTCCTCTCCTCCTTTTCCTCTACCTCCTCTTCCTCCTGCTCCTCCTCCTCCAGGAGCTTTAGTGTCACTTCTCTGCAGTTAAATTTGTCTCTTCCAGTCACAAACGTTCAACCATCTCATTAAAATTCCTGCCTGTGAAAGCACCGTGAACCAGGCCCTGTGTTCTGAAAACGTGCACGAGCAAGCAGACCGCTCACGTGCACACCTCCCTTTGAGAGTGCCCACTGATGCATGATGCGGAGGGTTGGGAGGAACAAGAGGGGGTGCACATTGGGCCCTGAAAGCAGCACACTGGGCCCTGAACGCAGCAAATTTGGCCCCTAAAAGAAGCACATCGGGCCCTGAATGCATCACTTTGGGCCCTGAATGCAACACATTAGGCCTTGAATGCAGCACACCGGGCCTAACATATTAGGCCCTGAATGCAGCACATCGGGCCCTGGATGCAGTACACTTGCCGTGGCAGCAGGACATTAGACCTTGAACTCAGCACATCAGGCCCTGAAAGAACATCAAGCCACAGACAGAACACACTGGGTCCAAAATGCAGCACATTAGGCCTTGAACACAGCACACCGTCTTTTAAGGTAGTGCACGAGGCCCTGAAACCATCCGATCTGTCCCTGAACTCAGCACATCAGGCCTTGAAAGAAGCACATTGAGCCTAAGAACACTTTAAGCCCTGAATGCAGCAGAACTTCATTTTTATATGAGTCAGAGGATTTTAAGGTCGACGGTTTCTACAGAAAAACTGAGGCCCAGGTTGGTTTGGTTTGTTCATGGGTTTTACACATGGATGGAGGATGGAACTGTGGTTATTTGTGACTGACAGGCCAGAATACATTTATTTTTTTATTCTTATTCTAATTCAGATGTTTATATTTTATAACTCAGCAGCTATCGGCTGGATGGATGGATGAGAGATGGATGGATGGATGGATGGATGGATGGATGGATGGATGGATGGATGGATGGATGTATGGATGGATGTTGGATGTTGGATGATGGATGTATGATGTTGGATGTTTGATGATGGATGTATGATGTTGGATGATGTTGGATGTTTGATGATGGATGTATGATGTTGGATGATGTTGAATGATGTTGGATGATTGATGATGTTGGATGGATGGATGATGTTGGATGATGGATGGATGGATGGCTGGATGATGATGGATGATGATGGATGTTTGATGATGGATGTATGATGATGGATGATGATGGATGGTGGATGATGTTGGATGGTGGATGATGTTGGATGATGATGGATGATGGATGATGATGTTGGATGTTTGATGATGGATGGATGATGGTGGATGATGTTGGATGATGATGGATGATGTTGGATGATGTTGGATGTTTGATGATGGATGGATGATGATGGATGATGGATGATGTTGGATGATGATGGATGATGTTGGATGATGGATGGATTTTGATGAAACTCTCAGAATGACGGAAACTTCATCTCACTAACTTCTGGAGTCAGTCCAGATCAAGAAGGTCGCCACAGACAAGACCATGACTCTGTGCTCGGGTTCATCTGGAGAACATGCAGACTCCATGCAGGACCAAACCTGAGACCGTCTTCTGAGGGACAACCATGTCAACCGTGTGTCTACAGGTCTGCTGATGGGTTGGTCATCAGGAGGGGGAGCTCTGTGAAGAGACACCAGGAGCTAAAGATCCAGGACAGAACTCTGACGGAGCAGAACGATGACTGAGATGTTTCTGATGAAGATACAGCTGGAGGAGGGTGAATGTCACGATCAGGTAAACAAAAACACTTTGGCTGCTTTATATAGGTAAACAAACCCACTTCAGCAGTTTATGCTGGTAAACAAATGCACCTTAGCTCTTTCTGTTCATAAAGAAACACATTCTGGTTGTTTTTGTTGTTTAACAAATTCAGATTAATTGTTTCTGTTAGTAAACAAACTCATGTTGGCAGTTTATGTAGGTACAAAAACTCTTTGCCTGTTTACATAAGTAAACAAACGCACTTCAGCTCTTTCTGTAGGTAAACAAAAACCAGCTTTTTCTGCCGGTAAACAAACACACTTTGGCTGTTTTTGTTGGTAAACAAGCACATTCTGGCAGTTTATGTGGGTACAAAAACTCTTTGGCCATTTACATAAATAAACAAACACTTCAGCTGTTTCTGTTGGTAAATAAACACATTTAGGCTGTCTCTTTGTAAACAAATACACTTTGAATGTTTTTGTTGGTAAACAAGCATACTTTGGCTGTTCATGTGGATACAAACACATTTCGGTCTTTATATAAGTAAACAAGCACACTTCAGCTGTTTTTGTAGGTAAACAAAAACACTTCAGCTGTTTCTGTTGATAAACAAGCACACTTTGACTGTTTATTTAGATAAACAAAAACACTCTGGCTCTTTCTGTTGGTAAACAAACACATTTTGGCTGTTTATATAAGTAAACAAACACTTCAGCTGTTTCTGGGTAAACAAACACACTTCAACTGTTTTTGCTGGTAAACAAGCACACTTTGGCTGTTTATGTGGATACAAACGCATTTCGGCCTTTTTATAAGTAAACAAACCCACTCCAGCTGTTTCTGTTTATAAACAAGCAGAGTTTGGCTGTTTATGTGGGTAGAAAAACATATTGGTTGTTTCCTAATTAAACAAACACACTTTGGCTGTTTCTGTATGTAAACAAACGCACCTTAGCTGTTTCTGTTGGTAAATAAACACTATGGCATTTATATAAGTAAACAAAAACACTTCAGCTGTTTGTTTATAAACAAGCACACTTTGGCAATTTATGTGAGTACAAAAACCCTTTGGCCTTTTAGATAAGTAAAAAAACACTTCAGCTGTTTCTGTTGGTAAATAAACACATTTGAGCTGTTTCTTTGTAAACAAATACACTTTGAATGTTTTTGTTGGTAAACAAGCAAACTTTGGCTCTTCATGTGGATACAAACACACTTCAGCTATTTTTGTAGGTAAACAGACACACCTCAGCTGTTTTTGTAGGTAAACAAAAACACTTCAGCTGTTTCTGTTGATAAACAAGCACACTTTGACTGTTTATATTGGTAAACAAAACACACTGGCTGTTTCTGTTGGTAAACAAACTCATTTTGGCTGTTTATGGTATAATACCAAAACACTTTGGCCCTTTATATAAGTAAACAAACACACTTTAGCTGTTTTTGTAGGTAAACAAACTCATTTTGGCTGTTTATGATATAATACAAAAACACTTTGGCCCTTTATACAAGTAAACAAACACACTTTAGCTGTTTTTGTAGGTGAACAAACTCATTTAGGCTTTTTATGGTATAATACAAAAACACTTTGGCCCTTTATACAAGTAAACA